GAGACAGTCCAGAGGTATGCAAGCAGTCTGTGGCCTGGTATTGATTGTCTTGTTGGAAAATGGCCCCAGGATGACATGCCATGAAGGTTAATGCAACCGGCCGCAGGATGGTATCAACATATCATTGAGCTGTTAAAGATGTATAAAAGATGACTAAAGATGACCAGCTGTCATTAGAAATAGTGCCCCACACCATCACACCAGGGATTATGGCTGTATGCCTTTGTAAAGCAAAGGCTGATTGGGACCCCTGGCCCCATCCTCTCCAGACACGAACACAGTGGTCATCTGTTTCAAGAGCAAAGTGAGATTTATCGCTGAACACTATACGATGCCAGTCTGATGGCAGCCATGATGATCGGCTGTGACACCACTCCAGGCGACTCCACCAATGTTGTGGGGTCAAAGGCAAATGTCTTAGAGGCCTCTGTAAGTGTAACCCTGCCTCAGAGAAGCACTGTGTGATGATGGACGGTACCACGAGAGGTATAGGCGTGGCTTTAGTGCATTGAATAATCGACAATGATACCGTTGTGTGGGCAACATTCCCACTGGCCATCCATATGTGCCTCGCATATGTGCTCCTTGTTCCAGAGCCTTCATTTCATCGGGGTTTCTTGTAGCAACCACTGCTGCCGTATCTTTGCACAGTGTCAACCTGCAGGTGGCAGCATACGCTTGGTATGACCACCCACCTTCATGCAACCCTACAATGCCATGTCGAAGTCGTGTTGTAAGGTCTTCGATATCGTCGTAATGGCATCTTTAGTCTTCTTGGAATTACAATGGCAGGGGGAAAAAAAAAACAGATAAACCCGTTCTGTTCCACCTCGTGTGACTGTTTATGAATTTTGCCACCTTGTTACTGCTTTGCGAATTGTGCACTAGAAATGTGCGCTATGATCGCAATTCCTGTTCATTTGGCTTGAACCTTTGATCATTTGCATGTTAGATTGAGATGTTTTGGCATACCAAATTTCGTCATGATCGCAAAAGTCCTTCTTGGTGCTCCTTTTTTTGCAAAAGAGCGTATATCACTATTAAAAATAAAACAAAATCTATTTAATTTCTTTTATATATATATTGGCCCACATACCACCTCCACCTCAACAAACAATAATAATTTATTTGTAAAAAAAAATTACACGTATAGCGTCCCAAATTTCAGACTTTGAAATCTAGTCATCTTAATATGGTGAAAGGGGGAAGGTAGTTATAATTTTTAGTCCTTTAATTAAGAAAATTAATTATGCTTTTGTGTATTAAGTATGCCATAAATAAAAATATTTTCTTATGAAGTCATCAACCACCTTCCATCAGTTTTATGGATATAACTCACTTATTTTTATATCACTTCAGGTTTCTTCATGAAGAGCAGAAAACCAGCAATTCAAAGCATTGCAAGTTTAAAAGTGCAATGACCAACTCACTGTTTGCATATACCAGCTTTTTTATACTTACAACATGCTTAGGAGAAAAGATATTCAATACTTCATCTATATCAAATTAGCATTTGGAATCTTTCTGCCCTCCTTGGAATGGGGAAAATGGAAAAGCCTGGATATAATATGTTTCACTTTTGTTCAAAGCAAGAATGAATCAATTACTTGTTATAATTTCCATTATATAACAGATTTTTTCCCCTACAATGTTTTCCTCAGCTATGTTTTTTCAGCATGTTTTATCTACTCTCATGTCCATAAATTAAGGATAATGCAAAATCAAGAAAAGGAAGAGTTAGAAGCAAAACAAATTTGACTTATTTGTAAAGATTATTTATTAAACAAAAGGTAAAGAGCAAAAAAAGATGCTATATGTTTGATATTATTAAAAAAATTAGCGATTTTTTCTCCCTGGAGCAAATTACAAAAAAGACCCATTTACAAAAAAACCAATATTACATGGTTGGTATGATTGTTAATACATGGTACATCTCCCAGACGATGCAATACAGTCCGTAGAACGCGTAGGCATGCTGAGTATCAAATTATCGATCTGATCTTGGGAGATATTACACCACTCAAAAAGCAATGCTCTCCGAAGTTCCAACAGACATGTAGAAGGTTGACGGGCTCCAACTCATCAGCCAAGCATGTTCCACACGTGCTCTACTGGATTCAAGTCCGGTGAGAATGCTGACCAGTCCATACAGGTGATATCCTCCGATTGAAGGCATTCGCTTACGATGCTTGCACGGTGAGGACGGGCGTTGTCATCCATAAACACAAACTGTGTGCCCATGGCGCCCCGAGACAAACGTACATGTTGTTCCAGAATGACGTCCCGATGGATTTTGGCTTGTCATGTTTCCAATTTGAACATGCAGGTCAGTTCTGGAACCCAGAATAATTCCACCCCAAACGAGCACTCCTGTACCACCGTAACGGTTTCGTTCAATGATGTTTTCTTGGTGGTAACGGGTACCCGGAGATCTCCATATGAAAGTCCGGCGAGAATCAGACTGCAAGCTAAACCTAGACTCGTCGGAAAACATCACACAAGCCCACTGTTGCGGTGTCCACAATGCATGCTCTCTACTCCAGGCTAACCACAGGCGACAGTGAGTTGTAGCAAGAGGAACGCATCTGACAGGTCTACGAGCATATAGACCAATCTGCCTTAATTGTCTGTACACGGTCTGCCTTGAAATTGTCTGAAGAGATCTGACGAGACAGGTCAGAGGCTGTGCTCCGCCTGTTTCTTTTGGCAGTAACTGCCAAATACCGGTCCTCATTTGGCAGTGTAACTCTGGGGCAACCTGTGCTATAATGTCTACTCACATTACCATCATCTTGGAATTGTTGCCAAAGCCTGGAGATGACACTCTGGGCAATTCCAAGTTCGTCTGATAGTTCCAGTGTGGTACGCCCACATTCCAGACGGCCGATAATTCTACTACGTAAAAAATCATCCAAATGCGTCCTTTGTGTCATAACTATTCGGTTATTGCACTGAAATGCTCATAAAGCGCCTGCGAACAATATTTCTTCTTTGCCTGTATTCCTTATATATCACTCTCTTACATTCTCGTCATTCTGACGTACCATCGGTGTCATCTGGTTACTTCCTGAAATTTGCATATGATTCTTGAAGATGTGTGTAATGATTTTACAGGTGATATATTTATTTTAGAGTTCGATTTCCTCGTGACTCCGAATTATCCTTAATTTATGGACATGAGTGTATTTCACCAAAATAAATGTTGTTGAAAGCCTGCCATCCAAGTTTTATCAGCATTAAAAGTCAGGCTTATAAATTATGTCTCAAAGAGGAGCTACCACCTGCTACCAGAGATATATCAAGCTGAATTCCAAATATATGATCTTAAAACATTTAATACAGTCAAACCCCATTTTACCAGTGGCTTAGCGATAAAGTCTCTGAACACTGGTAATTCACTCCAGGGTTTGAGTCCCAGCAAATGGACTGGCTACATGGGCATGTTCATCATTTTGCTTATGTGTAATATGTATAGAGCCAATTTCCCTTAGAACGTCCTCCCCAAAGGCATTTCTTCCCTTAGGCAGATATATCTTAAGTGCATTGCATAATCATAATTAATAATCTCTAACTCCATTTTAAAAGTTCTGAAGGGATTACTGAGAATTATCATTATATTGGCATTTTAATTAAACTGAAAATTATTTTAATTCAATTTTAAACATGACATATGAAATGTTCATATTCATAAGTCCCCAGCTTGTTCATATTTTACAGATATACACAAAGTAAAAATGTTACTTATTAAAAAGTTCTTTCAAATAAAAAAAAATCCAATGATTTTATACTTTTGCTGAGGATCAATTTAAAAAAATCATTAAACCGAAAATAATATTAAATTGATATAATTATATATCAATTTAATATTATTAAAAAATAATATATAATTGTGCCTTATAATGCATTAGATATGAATTTCATCAACAGATATGTTTCCCTTTGAGCAATGAACATTTCAAATATTCATAACCACAAAGTCATTTGTGTAAAATTCCATGTATATAATTGAGACATGATGCCAATGTATTCCAGCAGCTACCAGCTGTTGCTCTAGCAGTATATATTGCCCTGGAAAAGGTTCACAAAAATGGAATTCTTACTTTTTGTTTATTACTTTGATGATGGTACATATTTTGAATTTTTTAATATATATAACACTAATATAAGAAATTAAATTCATGATTATTAAAAATGCAAGTAATAGCATACTGTTGATTTCATATGTTATCAAAAAAACAGCTACACCTTTTTACCATACAATTGGCAAATGATGAGATTTGCCCATTGTATACCATATAATGATAACATACAATGGGCAGATTTGCTGTCTGATGATGTATGCTTTATGTAAGGCCTTTAAGGGAACTGAGAGCCTAAATTTCTTTTCACAAACTACTATGCTTGACCTCACAAACCTGACCTTACTCTCGAAGAGCAAAGATATGAAAGAGATGGGTTTGGCACTCAGATCTCCAGATCCAAATTTAGTTGCATATGCTGTGGGATTCTATGGAATGATGTGTTACAGCCCGACATATTTTCTGCAAAAATTTCATGAGCAAAGAGTCATACTCAAGGGTAAAGAGGATTCTTCAAGTTTAAGGGCTATCTATCTCATACATATCACAAGATCTTAACATCTTGTGATAAGTATGAGGCATCACTGCACATCTGTGACAGATGAGCGAATTCCATAATCATATGATTTTAATGATAAAATATCAGATCATTAATTTGATTCAGGAATATGACTTTTTGCTACCAAAATATGTATTTTACTTTCTTCTGTAATTAAACAAGTGTCACATAATTATGCCTCTTTTTATTACTCATATGGAATTCTTATTTACGGCTTTACATTTTGCAAATTTAATTTTTCTCAAAAATTGCCATTTGAAAAATTTAATTTTTGACACTAAGCAAGAAACCTGGTTCAATGTGACGACATTAACTGAAACTGTCTAAATTAACAAAATATAAGGAAATAAAAACCAACATACCAACTCATTATTTTTATTAAATCTGTAATCTCCCTTCACTTGAGGAGGAACAATTTCCGCTGAATCAAAGTACATTCCTTTATGCAGAAAAAAAAAATGCAATTTTTAATTATTTTATAACATTATATTCATCCCTCGACTCATATAGATATGCTTATTTCATTTCTTTCATATTGTTCAGCTTACAGTAAGTGAAGGTAGACAGATGAAATGCTCAATGGATTATTTAAGAGTTAAAATATTATTTACTGTCTAAAAATGCACATAAAAAATTCTACATACATCGAGGGATGATCATATTTAAAACTACAGAGCATCTAGAAACAGATTACATGAAATATCTACCTATGTTACCAAAGTTCCCACGTGGAGTGCTTTCAAGAAGATCATTGAATAACTGCCATGAGCCTTCAGCACATTCATCTCGAATTCTTTCTCTAGTAAGAGATCCATTCTTGAAACTAAAAATTAAAAATTGTATTTTAATGAAATTAAAATATAAAACAAATTTTTTATCAGTATATATAAAATAAGAAGAAATCATTACCATAATAATGCCATATACTCTTTACTGTCTAACGGATTGCAAAGAATATGACCATTTAAAGAAGGTTTTGGATTTGCAAGCCACAGAAACAAAGTATCACTGGTACCCAAACTAATGGCCATTTCCCCTTTATTTAGTTGAGTACCAGCAAGAGAAGCTAAAATTTAATGTAGATTAATCAATAATTTATTATTATGCATAATGCATGCTAATTAAAGTTACAAATTAAAGTCATGTATTACTGTTTAGTCAAAATTTAAATGAACAAACATTACAGACTTCTCAATTGCACATATTTGTAAAAACAAAGAAATATTTATTAGACAAGACATCCAGCAGAATACAGAAAGTATGCTTTAAATACCTTAAAAATTACTTATAATTCCATTTAGAAGTATTATTAGTGCAAAATAACAGAACTATAATAATTTTCCAGACAAATAGTTTTATTCAAATATTTTACTGCATATCATGCAAATATAAGATACTTTACTCATAACAGATGTTAATATAAGAAAATCTGTGCATACCAGGATTGTCACCTGTAAATGCCACAATCTTACAGGTATCTGAGAAACCAAAGCGTTCACAATAATAAGTTGCTATTGTTCCCTGCAATAAAGAATGTAGAAAATGCAGTTCTTTAGAAACAATTATTAAAAGGAAACAGAAATTATATTTATCTATATAATGCTTAAATAAATACAAGTATTTACATACACTGACACATTAAAAAATATTTGCATGTATATTACACATATACTTACTAAAACAGTACAAGAAGGAACAGGTGTCCCTAACTTTTCTCTTAAATTTGGGGCACACATCTGTAAATAAATAGAAGTATAGACATCAGAAGACAATGACAGAAAATTAAAACAATTTCATGGTATTCTTGAAGAAGGGTGACATATAAATGAGATGCATCTTGTTACCCTGCTGAAATCATGAATTCAGAAAAATCACTGTCCTCAAAAAAGAGACAAAATGTTTAATACTTTGGGAAAATGATTATAAGCTATGACTTTTACATAATATTCCTGCATATTTCTTAATGCTAATGACATGACCATTTTGAAAGAACGCTTGAGAAGTCATTAATAGGTAAAGAAGGGTAAAAGATAAAGCGATTCCAACTACCAAGGCTTCTAAAATAAAACTGGGTGGAGATTGGCAAGTCATACTGCCTACTGTTCAGGATCACAGTATGGAAAGCATGGCTTAAAAATGGCAGGCACGACTGTGCAATGAAGCAAATAAATCCATCCATGATGCTTCATGAAGTCTATCCATGTGACTGATGCAGCACTCTAGAAAGAGCAATATTTATTACAACTATTCTCTCATGTTTAATTTAAAGATTTTAGCCTACTGCAAAACAACAGAAAACAGTATAGAAAATGTATTTCAACAAATATTTAAAGTTCACAGTTTTGATAGGTAGCAGGAGTATGAGTCATGCAAAACTAGTAATTATACATTAGATTTTCTCAATCACCAATATTACAATAAAAGATTAAAAGCAAAATTTTTTAATTAAAATGCATTTATAACTTAAAAATTACTTTATGAACTAGATTTAATTTATTTTCAAGAAAGTGCATTTCTTACATTTAGGCAAAAATCTGACCAATCTTTGGAATGGATATCTAACAAATTCATACCAGAGCCATCACTAATATCAATAGGTGCATAACGACCTAGGAATAATGTTGCCCCAAAACTGCTAACAAGGGAGATTCTCTGTAAAAGAAAAAGTATTCATACAAATGAATCAGAATAATAAAAAATTAGAATAAAATAATTAGAATTATATACTGCATGGTCACCTAGTTGTTCAGAGGCTTTGTTGCAGATAGATGAGCTTACAGAGAACAGCAGTTGGCACTGTGGTTCTAATTTGGCTTTGGGTTGTAAAAACAATCCTCCCGGAAGCTTGTTCAATTTACATTGAACAATTTGTGCAGTTATATAGCTTGTGTCATTACATAAGGCTGAAGGTAACTCTAACTATACCATTGGTGATTTTTCACTCTATCTAATGGAATTATGAGCTATAATCACAACTTTCAGGGTCTGTGAAATCTTTCAATTTTTCCAGGAAGGCAGACGTGATGCACTTTGAAGTTAAGTATCACATATGATATAAAGATTTTTTTTAGAGCTGAGATTGAAATTGTGCACTTCTCTCTGAATTACACAACATGGGACATCAAATCAGCAAATCCAGTTTTTCTAAAATGCTTTTACGACTTTTTCTGCAGTAATGTTTAATAAAGGAAAAACTTCCCTCTAACATATGAATCAATCAGTATTGGTTAAATAGTAAGCTTTTCCATCTGATGGTGATAATGGCTGTATCAAATCTATATAGTGTACCAAGCTAAATCTTTCATCAGGTTGCATAAACTGTCCAATTTGAGACTAAGTGATATTACTGATCTTATTTTTCTGGCAATTTATGAATGCTTTGGACCAGTTATGCCATTCATTTTTAATGTACAACCACAGAAATCTTGAAACAATTCACTTTACAATGGATTCAATTTCCAGATGAGCTAAGCCAGGGGTTATTAACCTGTGGGCGTCATGTGCCCGCGAAGCTATTTTTTTTGCGTTCGCAACTGTCCGCTATATACTATATGCAATGCTAAAAATCACATTAAATGCAACTATTTTGAATTTTTTGTTTCCTTTTTAATGTAGGGTATTGTTTATGAAGCAATAAAATAAAAAAATATTAAGATTTTTTTTTTTTTCCCCTACGACCACCAGCATTTCCTGTTTGTCAGATGTGCCCAGATGGGGAATAAGGTTACCACTTGCGCTACGACTAAACTTCAGGGTTGCGGTGCTGTGCACTACAATATAAAAGCGGTAAAGTGTCTCATTTACGTCGCTCCGCGTCTGCGAGTGCAATCCAGAGCTGTAACTCGAGAAATAAACAATCTCATTGTTAGGTGACATGTGCACCACGTTATTTTCATTTATGCGTGCGGTTTGAGACAAAAGCATCTCAATGTGCGTGGCACGTCTTTTTAGCACAAGTGGTTGAGAACCCCTCAGCTAAGCTATGAATCAACTGAAATACTTACATCCTTTGGATTGAATGGTATTTTGTTTTCAGTAGATGTGTCACATCATAATATTCTGCCACACAGAAATCAATATTATTGAAACTTCAATAATTTATTTTCATTAGGCAATTTTACAAGTTTTTCATCATCATCATCATCATCTTCATAATGAGCTATTTTGTCAAAATTAGTTGCAGATACATCTTCAATTTGAGGCAAAGCATCAGCCATTATTTTGTCTTTTTCGTTAATGTAATGAATATTTGTAGTAAATTCTGAAATATATTGAAGTTGACGTAACTGTCTCGGTGGCTTTTCCTTTTTTCTTTCTTTCCTAAAAGTGAATGTTAATGGTTTAAACTAAACTCAGTGGTGCAACAGCCCTAGTGGGCCACAGCCTGCAGTGCCCTGAAATCTGCTTTCTTGACCTTGGGCCCCAGGGTGCATCAGCATATGCCCTGGGCAAGTGGTCAACTTGTTGCAGGACCCCTGGTGTTTAGTCTCCAAGCGAACTTGGTAATCATTTTATCAACCCATTCAAGGGATGAAAATCTGAGTCAACCTTTGCCCAGCCCAAGGATCGAACACTGGACCTGTGGTGCAGCAGCACAATATGCTAGACACTTGGCTACCGGGCGGTCTGTTAATGGTTTATGATCTGTATAAATCGTAGAATTTTAAGCTTATAAATTTTTACAGTCTTTTACAGAAAGACATATCTCATAAGTACTGTACTTTTTTTGTGCATCATACAACTTTTTCGAATAAAAGGGAATGAGCCTCCAAAAACCACTCAGATTGCTGTAAAACAGATCCAATGGCACAAGCTCATGCATCCTTATATAAGAATAAAGGTAGCTCTGCGGGTTAGGGAAAGTTAATAATGTAGCATTCACTAAACCTTTTTTTATGTTTTTCAAATTAGTTCTTCTCTTTCAATGCTGAAGGAATTTTTCGCTGATCTTTCTTTTTAGCTCTTTTTAAATACCCACGAAGTATTGCTTGCAAGCAGCAACATCTTTAGTGCACCTAAGATAAAAATTTATCAGACCAAAGAACATGCAGAGGTCATGAGCAGCATTAAGGAGCTCATAATCTAATACAATTTGCACCTTCCAAGGAAGAAGGCATGAACCACCTAGTGAAATTAAGTAACCCAAGAATTCTAAAATTTGTGTACCAGGAACTGATTTGGATATGTTTATACAAAGTTATTTTATCTTCTGATGAAGATGTTATTAAAATGTCCATCAAGGTATGGAAAATCATAAACCAGTCCTCAAAATGCTTAATTTATAAACTGATGGAATATCGATGGAACATTAAGTAATTCAAACTCACAATATTGAATTATAATGAACAAAAAGTACTAAGATCAGTTTTAGGCCTATCTTTTGCAAAGCGCATCTGCCAATATGCCTTCTACCTTTGAAAAATATATAGTGAAAATCATCTCTTTGTGGAACAGGATAATGATCAGGTATAGTTTGAGCATTCAGTTTTCTGTCATTACTATAAGGGTGAAGTGGACCATCTTCCTTTGTGATAGCATGAAGAGGATGTGAAACCAATGGTCTAACTACACCATTACCTAACATAAATAAAATTCTCATTTGATAATTTGTAACCTCCTTAGGTCTAATTGTTGAACTTTTGAATAATTTGATATTATTGAAATTTCTATTGTTTAGATATAATGTTTGGTTTCATTTTTAACATTTGAGATTAATAGGTTTGGTTTTTTTTAATATCAGGATATAATGAAAACATATCAAAGTTTTTATTTGATATTGATAAAATTTCACCAACACTTTAGTCAGTTCAATGAATTTCCTTTCTTTAATATCTGTCAACAGATTAAAAACCAACAACTAATATGCCTCTAGAAACTTTACAAACAATGGCCTCTGAAATGTACGTCTAAATCAAATTTAAGAATTTGAACACCATGCATTAAAATTTCTGTTCCATTTGCTGCATATAACTTAATATCGCTATTGGTTTTTATTATAATTAGCAGCGGGTGTTAAATTAATGCCTATTTTACTATCTATTACAAATTACAATCCCCCCTTTTTTTTTCAGTTACAAATTATGGAGAATCTAGACAAAATTTTACACTTTTGGCAATTGGGTTCCCTGCTAATCTTGCTGCCAACATTAGTTTTCTGATAGTTTCCAGCCATATGGAGCACTTTTCAGGCTAGCATTTAAAAGCAAACGTAAATCGGTAATAGCAATAGTTTTGCTAATGATTAAATCGTTTTCGATTTCACGATAAACTCTTTTTTTCTTGGTCGAGAATGCACAGAACTACTACATTGAGATTGTCTTCATACACTTAATTTAGAAATTTACTGTTCTAAATAAGAGATTTTTAAATTCAGCTCTTGCATAAAACTGAAATGTTTATTTATAATCAGTAGCAAACAGTTCAGTTTTCAGATTAATTTCCACAATTTTATTTGCCTAAATGCATGGTTTTATAAAGATTCCACACTAATCAACAAAATTTTCATGATTAGGTCAGGCAGTTTATCTATCAATAATGTTTTAACCACTTTTTCTAATACATCAATAGTAGCCAAGTGATCCCATCATCTGAAGTAGTTAAATTGGCTTCTTAACACCCGTTTCGATTTCAGTAACAAGTTTTTAGATGCATATATTTTCACTTTCTTTTAAAACACTTAATAGTCCTGTTTAACCAAAGTACAGGGTGATTATAATTAAAGTTTAAGTTTCAAAACACTATAAAAAAAAAGAACCACTGATGAAAATGATGTGAAATTTGAAAAGAATGTTATTGAAGAAGGCGGAAAGCGTATGGCAGAAGAAAAAAAATTAGTTTCAAAAGTTAGCAACAGATGACGCTGTAAGCAGCAGAATCACGACGAGAAACGAGAAATGATTCGTAAAACAACGGCTAAGGTGGAAGTTACACATTAAAACGCATTGACAAATTAGAATTGTTGAATAATTTTACTTGCATGACTTTACATATCACATCAAAAGGGACAAATCAGTTTCAAGAGTTTTGCGGCGACATACCGCATAAGAGAACCATTCATCAAAGAAGTTCGGAACTCTTGCGAGACTGGCGTAAAACATGTTCAATATGGTGTCCACCGTTGTGTGCAGCAAGTTAAAAGCGACAAACAGCATGTTCCACAACGGATCGCAGTGTCTCCGGGGTGATGTTCAGAATGTGTTGCGAAATGCGTGCCTTTAATTCAGCTAAATTTGCAATTGGAGCACGGAACACAACATCCTTCAGATATCCCCACAGCCAGAAATCACACGGAATAAGATCAGGCGATCGGGATGGCCAGGCTGTAGGGAAATGACGGCTGATAATTCGAACATTTCCAAAATGGTGCCTCAGCAGCTGCTTCACGGGATGTGCAATGTGCGGAGGAGCGCCATCTTGCATAAAAATGATTTCATCCACACATCCACGCTGTTGTAGAGCTGGAATCACGTGGTTGTGCAAAAGAGACGCATACCTCTGACCAGTGACGGTCGCGGTAACAGGACCGGAAGCACCCGTCTGCTCGAAAAAATATGGTTGTAAGATGAATGATGCCGTAAAGCCATACCATACCGTGACGTTTTTAGGATGAAGTGGTACGGGCCGCGTTGCCAGTGGATTTTCTGTTGGCCATA